GACAATGTAATCATGTAGTTATTTACAATGATTACATTGTCCGCCTCGATTCCAAGCTATTGTTTCGTGTGCACTCAAGCAAATTCGGGAAGTGTCTATTGGAAACCGTGTCAATAATAAAAAACGTACAATGAGCTTATGAACATGCGAAAATTGTCACGCCCAAAATTTATACAAATGTTTATTTTGTTAAACATTTGTATAAATTTTGGGCGTGACAATTTTCGCATGTTCATAAGCTCATTGTACGTTTTTTATTATTGACACGGTTTCCAATTTACTATAGTTTCGATCTCGATAATACAAAAATGTTTATCTGGGGCCAGTTGTATCAAGCCCGTTTAGCTTATTAAACGGTGGTTAAGCTCAAAACAGAAAGCAACTAAGCAAGTCATCGATTTATTCAACAATCAAGCTAAACGTTTCAGTAGTGGCCGTGTAAAAACGGCCGTACGTATTAGAAATAATTCGTTTTATCAATTCATTCATTAGGATGATCATTTTATATGATAACCCGTAAACATACTGACCTTGCATATAAATATCTAATGAAATACAAATTGTCAAACACAAAAACACTGGTGGTCATCGAGGTTTATGACGATTACGGCTGATTTGTAATTTAGCCGCTCTTCTTATAATCGTTGTTTACAATAAATTGCAAAAATAATGCCCAAAATTCCAAATGCACGCAGTCAAAAGTGATGTGAAATCTACAAGAAATCTCGTGAATACAAAATTACTCATGTTAAACAAATAACTCTGAAAGTCCAGATGTCGCCTTCCCCCCCTAAACACGCGATAAGTCAATGCAGCCATCTACTTCCGGCTGGTCGAAATTGACCAGCCGGAAGTATGTCTGCTTGCCAGATGTTACAAGTCTCTCTTCTCTTTCCTCCTCTCCCCCTCAGCGGTACGTCATGTAACGTACAATATAGATGTACAATATATAGATGTCCACAAAGAGAGACTTGGAGCAAGTCTAATTCACATCCATCAGAAGAACATCGCACTAGAAATCGCAGCAAAAATTGCAAGTATAAACCGGTCTTTATATTACAACACAAATCCTATTTTATCACTACACAAATGGTTATGGCGTTTCTATGTATAAAATTCTAGAAATCAATGGAAGAATATATTTTGTGAAGGTAGATCCCATTCGCAACTGCCATTAAATTCCATTTGGTGTAAAATCTCAGGATTTATTCGGTAGTTATACTGTGTGTTTTTTCACTACTGGAGAACTCTCTCCGGATTATACCTACATGGCTCAGTATTGCTCAGAAGCAAACTTTGCGAAAAATGCAACTATATGCCCTCTGCAATACGCCCTTTCGATAATTACGTCACAACTACACTGTTTTCAACTTACTGTAGGACCACCTTAAATGGAAAAGATTTCATGTTTTTTTTCCTATTGGCTATGCACAAATATGGAAATAATCTAATATTAACACGAAAACGAAAACCAGATCATGACCTGGAAAATCGTTTTCGTGTTAAAGCTTATTTCCACATTAATTGGTCGAAATCCTTTTTTTATGCATGCGTTGAAGGATGTTCTGCTTCTCTGTGCATAATCCATGAGAAAAAACTTGAAATCCTTTCCATTTAAGGTGGTCCTAAGTTGCAAACAATGTAGTTGTGACGTAATTATCGAAAGGGTGCATATTCCGGTGCACCGCTATAACCAACTGAGCTACAGAGGCCAGTTGTCGAGCATGTATACGTATAGATATAATATAGATATTCAATAGATATAATCAATTATGGTGTTTGTATTTTTATTGGGGAGAAAATTAATACAAACTATAAAAAAAGTTTGGTAAAATTTCTTACTAACACATTTTAGTACTTTGACTTTTCGACAAAAATTCAGTAAATCGACCGAATGATAGGGCTTGCCAAGGTAGATCCCAGACTCCTGTGCGCTTAAATTCAATATGGTGGCCAACGTGAAATCTCAGGATTTAGTCCGCTATTAGTTGCTAGTAATTATTGTGTCTGTTTTACCACTGCATCACTCTTTCCTGATTATATATAGCGCAGTGGTTACCCAGTAGAAAAAGTATGGTCAAAAGTAATATTGTAGAAACTTTAGAAATGTTATTCCACATGCCTGTGGAGGAGGTTAATATTCTAATGCTTTTTTTTTCAAGGATAAAAATAAATAGTGATGGCTCACAGTAGACTAAATGATCCAAAATATAGAAACTGGGTTACTGTTGGTCGAGCAATTCAGATTACCCGGAACGCCTTAGAAACCATAATTCAAAATGCTGTTGACAAGTACCACACGTCACTGCTTGCAAATTGGCCAAATAGTGTACCTGCGTGGGAATCTCGCTTGAAAAAGTCCCATCGATCACGTGATAAAAGAAAAATATCCTGGATCAACAGTGACAACACTCAGTGGTTGACCATTGGCGCTTCATGGGAAATTGCTAAGATTTTCATGGCTCCCTTGGGACGAAGAAAGCTTGATGTAGTCAGCGCCAAAACTACTGATATATCGGGACTGTTGAATATATTAGAATGGTCTCCGAGAGCGACAAATGGTATGTTCAACACAGGTGTCGATCTCTCGAAAATAGCAGATGCAAGAAGTGCTAGGAATCTTTGGGCGCACGCACCGTTGCTGCATGTAAATGATGCTGACAAAATCGACGCCTTTGCATCATTAACCTCGCTTCTTCAAGACCCAGAACTAAACGGTGACAAAGATGTTCAAGACGCCATAAACGAGCTCAATAGTTTATCCAACACTGGTCTAGCGGTTATTGAAGAGAAAGAATTGGAATTATTCGTTCAGTTAGAACGTCAACTTGGTCAGGATATGGTCAGTTTGGGAAGTGATATGAGCTGTTGGAAAGATG